TCGCCCGAGAAAAAGCCATGCCACAAGTGGTGACAGCTAAACTGATCACGAAGCTCTACCCACCTTCTTGAACCCTTAAGCAGGCCATCAATACTTCATGTCACCCTCAGGCACTCTTCAGACACAAAGATATTTGAATAACTTTGCAAGTACGAACGGTTTCACTGCCCTACAAAAATCAAGATTGAAACTCAAGCGAAGCCTGGAAAGGTAGCTTTCGTGACATTTGAATGCGTGAGTAGCCTCGCAGGAGTATGGCAGCAAGCATCAGTCTGTAGCTGTCATGTTTTCGTCGCTGCATCTCTTGCTTCTGGATAGAAAGGTCCAAAGCACGCTCTGCAAACCTGCCAAAGGTGTCATCATGGTATCAGCATTGAACACCCAAGTAAAGCGCCAATCTTCTCACATGTGTCTGGCAACATCCTTGTATCCGAAGGCATTGCACACTTGCCGAAATGTCACATGAGGCGGGAAATCTTGCTGTTGCATCTGTGCTCTCGGCCCTGACAAGCATTGGCTTGCTGCTGTCCAAGAAGTGAGACGTGACCTCGAATCCATAGGACGTCCGCCTGTCTCTCAGTGCAAGGTCAATGTTCCTCACGGCTGAAATCAGAAGAGCGGGTCTTCTCGGCTGCTTCGTCTCCTGTTGCTTCTTTCTTGCCAACTTCTCCCTGCCCCACTTGCGGGTCCCTCCAATCGGAATCAATCTGGTTGTCGCAAATTGTTCCTCAGCTAGGACTCCATCGGAGAAACGGATGCAGAGCACTGCGTATACCCGATTCGAAAAGCACCGTCCGGGCGTCGAATGCTCTCAAAGGACAAAAGACTCTCGAAAACTCTGGCTCACGTCAAAACACAAAGCCCAGCGTCCCTTTCGTGGCACGCCTCTGCACGCCGTCCCGATCTTCAACCACCGCGAGACTCTCAGTCGCCCGGGAGGCCTGTGCCGGTGATCTTGACATGCCCCGCCTACTTGAGAATTCACCAAAACGTCATCTGCACAACGTGACCCCAACCAACTTGAATCTGTGCGCTGACCGCTTCCGCTTCCTTAAGTGTAGCAGGTCCGGGGCAACAAGTGCAACACGACTCACAAAGCGTGTTGAACCTGTCGGATAGCAGACAAAATATCTTCCTACAAGTTGCACGTGCTTGTACCAATCTTGGCGCTTGCATTCCATGAGTGGCAGCATTCTGGACGCACTTGGACATGTTTGGCAGTGTTTGGGGAAAGCAGACAGCAGACCCAGCACATGAACCCAGTCAAGACAAAAGTCGAGGCTGACAATTGAGGCCCCCCTGGGGCAGTGCACCAGAAACCATCATCCACATCCCTGGCGAGCTTCCACCCGATGCGCCCTTCATGGCCTCTGAACTGCTGGAAGTGCGGCCGTGAGATGCAACGGTTGCACCGACTGCTGCACCCGCACCAATCCTGAACAAAGGCTAGCTGCCACCATACGACTGTATGCCGCTTAGCCATATATATATATATATATATAACCTTCGGTCTGCCCACGCCGAGAGGCCAACCGCCAGACACTGCGAAGGCCACTTTCTTGCAAATGCCAACAGCGGCACCTCCCGCAGCGGCGCCGGCGTCTTCTGTGGCTTTGGCCAGTTCCGTTAACAAATCATCTCGGTCAAAATCGATGCCAGGATCTGACTGAAGCCTGCTTGCATAAGCCTGCAGATGGTGCTTCGCCTTGTTCAGAAGACTGGCTTTGACAGTAGCGTTTGGCATTCCCTTGACAGCGAGTACTGAAGACTTCTCATCCTCCACTGCAGCATTCTCTGCTTCTTGATCTAGCAGCTGCTCAATCTCCCAAGCTCTGTCTGCAACCGACTCCATGGCGTTGACAATCTCGTCCAAGGGATTGTGCGCCAAGCCCCGGAACCTCAGGCGTCACACAAAGCGAGGCAAGAAAACAAACCAAAATGAGTCTGAGCTCACGTGAGCTAAGCTCATTTCGCTCAAGAAAACCGCTGACTCGACCCCGCACTTCACACGAGCTGTGCAGACTTTTGGAGCTGTTCTCAGACATGCGGCCCACGCTCGAACTTGCGGATGGCGAGGATGCACGGCTTTGCTGACAGGCACACACCCAACACCAGCCACAGTGCCCTCATCGTGTCATTTACATCGACTCCCACCAACAGCTTAGAGACAATGTTAAGGAGATTGTAAGAATTCTGTCCCGAAGCTGCGAAAGCGCCGTTGATGATGAGCAGGCTCAGGATGCTTAGGATGACCAGGCTAATGAGAATGTCAGCCAGGACCACCTGCCGACTCTTCCTCATCGCGATTTTGCCCCAGCTGCGCACCTAGCGGATGGAAGTCAAGTATGGTCGCCAGGGCCAGATCAAGCATGGAGTACATATACAGAAACGCGCCAGGCGCAAGGTCTCTCCCTGAGATGAAAAAGCATGCGATCTGAATGAACACACGGCGAAACAAGCAAGCGAGCCGACACCCACCAACAAGTTCTACCCATTCCACACGCCGCCGGCCTCCTTCCAAAGCTTCTGCTCGATTTCTCTCTGCCTGGCAAAAGACACAAATACACACGGCCGCAGCACTCTCAGCCCCAGCGCAAGCTTGAGAGGCCTCACAGTCTTGGCTGATTCATCATTCTGCACATGCATCTTGCGCTCCTGACAAAGGGCTGGGACCGGGATGGACCAGTCACAAGAGACCACAAGAGAGAAAAATCAGACCTGTCAGTTTGAACCCACTCTTGCGGCTTGTGCTGTGCCAGTTCAAGCACGCAGACAGCTCCAAGAGCTCCTGGAGCTGCTGGTGCGCGGCAAACTGGAGGACCAAAGACGTCGCAGACAAAGCAGCGGCCACGCCGATCTCCAGACCCGAAGCGACCAGCGACCAACCAGCGGAAGCAAGAACCGAACACATTGCCAGGCCAGACAGAGATGGAAAAAGCAGTGAAAAAAGGTTTGAAATCAGGAGTGGCCCCAGCTGCCATCTGGCATCTGAACTCTTCTGAAATAGCTTGAACTGGCTCTTGGAAACCTGAAGGCATTGAGAATACAGGCTGCAACTGCTTGAGCTCCAGGAAGCGAAGGAACAATCCCAGCGTTCATCACACTGTACTCTGCACTCTGATTCTGAAGGCTTCCCATGGTTTGGAGCCTGCAGCAAAAGGGAATCGCTGGAGCAGTCGCGGCTCGAGTGCATTTCCCACTGCGAGGGAATCATGGAAGTCCTCGCTCCTGGCAGCACAGCGATGGCAAGGCAGCACAGAACCAAGAGGCCAACCAGCACCCTGAGCCATAAATCCACGTGGACTTCACGTCGACGCCACTCCGGCAAATCCCCAACGCTGACACGAAGAGCTCCAAACTTCCAGCTGCAAATGCAGAAAACCAGAATTGCGGTGAAGCATCCCGCACTTCGGAGCAGCACCTGGTCTTCAGGACTGAAGTTCCACAAAACACTCACCTCTGCCAGTGCTGCGTGGACCGAGTCCCCCCACTGAGGACCTGTTCCAACCATTTTTTGAGCTTCCTTTCTGTCTGCCTTCTCTTGTGCTTCCTTTTCAGCCCGCTCTCTCATGGACTTCTGGTGTGCAAGCTCCATGGACTTGGAAAACTGCTCGGCATTGTCCATCGCCGTCTGGAGGATCTTCAACCCGTACATGCTCACCTTTCCACACTCAATGCAGATCGGAAAGTTCGGCAGACTGCAAAGACACAGCAGCAAAACTCTTCTAATTCCGCCAAGCATGCCGTCGAATCCTTGTAGCCCAACAGTGTCACTCTTCCACGAGTAAATGGAAAGATTGTACTGGGTGGAACATCAAGAGCTTTGGACACCTTTTCCACCCGTTCAGTCTCGCAGGCAGCTGTGTTGTTTTTCTGACATGCCGTCTGCAACCAGGTTAAGACCACCATGGTGGAGTAGCCGAGCTCTGAAATCTTTGCCACGTACTTCTTCGCCAGGGACTTCTCGGGCTCCCTGACGGAATGCTCGTATCTCATGAAGAACAAAACACCGTGCATGCGATGAGCTTCCGAAAACATCTGGTGACCGCCGATCTCATTGAAGATACCTTTGTGCGCATCATATTCATTGAGATGAAAGCCATCCGGGACTTTGCCATCAGTCAAGTTTTGGAGAAATGCTTCTGAAAAATCTCGGAATTGGCAAGTCTCGCCCTCGCAGATACCCCAGGTGTCCCAAAAGTTGACACCAATCGACGAATCATCCAAAAGGGAAGAGAGGTCATACTTCGTTATGGCTTTCGTGTTGTGGCCACGTCCTTGACCAATGTCACGAGGCAGCCTCTGATCGTTGCTGACGGAGAGAGCAGATGACAAGCTGGTGATGTAAGTGGTCTTGCCAGCGCCTGGAAATCCAATTGCCAAGAAGTTATAGCGGCGCTTGCCCGTCCAGAACACGGGTCGGTAGGCGTGGTACGGAAAATCGACAATAGCAGAACCCCAGGGGTGCTCTTTTCCGTATTGATCCAAGATCATGACTTCCAGCTTTGCTGGCAAGTTTTCTATTTTGTTGCTGCTCGTCTTCCTTGGAAGCGAAACAAACGAGCTTTCAAACGAGTTGAATCGCTTCACCAGCTGTTTGTTTTGATTCCAGCTAAAACACAAGAGTCGATTAAACATCTTCAAGAGGCGGCTTCAATTCCACGTTGATTATGGCACTTCCAGGACAAGTGATCTCGCTGCTGAGTTGTGTGGCCTCGCACCCAGCACCGAAAATCATAAATTTGGGTTGCCGAGAAAGAACACTCTACCAACCTCTACGAGTACTAGCTAGATACTTGAAAAAACCAAGCTTCAACTCGTGCGAAATGGCGACGCTCAACACCATAGTCCCCAATCACCACTGTGGCTTTCTCCGGGATTGGCACGTTGCAACCCTGCAGCCATGATGTGCGAGCAAGAACCCATGCATTGCACAAAGGCATGTTTGGACTTCTGCGGCAGTCCGACTCTGAAAAGAACACGCAAGAATCTGAACACTTATGCACACACATGCCGAGGATTCCTGGCAAATGTTGTAGATCTCAATCTCCAAGCGCAGCGGTTCTGAAATAGTCCGTGCCGAAGATAGCAGGCGCACTACAAGGTCACCGGGGCATGCTGCAGTGAACCAACCTGAATGCTGCAGTCAACTTCACTTTCGACCAACCGCATGTCGTGAATGCAACCTGCCTTCTTTGTACTTCACAATCTCGGTCTTCAGAACATCCGCTTCCTCAGACCCACTGTGCACGTAGCCACGACCAATACTCGCAATCAACAGCACGACAAAGCCGACATGGCCAACAGCTGTCATTCTAATTCTGCACATTGTCGGCCGGCTCTACCTATGTCACGACTAGCAAACGTTCACAAAACCTGGCACTAGGCAACTTATATGTCTTGACTCACACTCGTCATCGCTCTCATGTCGGCTGGAAAGTTCAAGCCATACGCGGTCTCGAACTGAAAGACTCAAGCCTGACCCGACATGGTGCTAACATGATGCAGTTCAACGTGAAGCAGTGTTGTTTCGATCGAGCATCGGTCACTGATGTTGTCACAATGACTCCGATGTCAGCTTGATCGATGCCAATGCTGCAAACGCCAGCATCTGAGTGCCGTGGGCTCGCATTGCCCGCTACATCCATCACTCATGCCGAATGGCATGCCGAAGTTTTGAAACAGCTGTTTGCGAGACCTAAGAATTCACTATTATCCGTCAACTCTTTTTCAAAACTGTTAATTGATCCGATTTTTACGACTGCTATGCCGGCGAGAGCAGGTTTTTGCAGTGTTCCTGAACCTTGGGCACTCCGGACAGGAAAAAGAGTCGAAACATGGAACTTGAACTTAGGTTCACCTCTGGTTTACACTGTCAGGTTCAATTTGGTTCGAACAAGAGCTTGGGTTCGAACACAGTGAGCTTGAAGGTTCAAACACCATCGAAACGTTTTTTTCCGTCAGAGATAAAGAGCCAACAAGGTTCGAACGCTGGAATCGAACACTGAGTTTCGAAACCCAACAAAAATCCAGACTTTACAAAGGCAAGAAACCCCAGAGTGAAAAAAACAAATCCGACCCACAGATAGTTATGCCTTCCTTTAACAGACGTACGGTGTGGCACACTGGTACTCCATCAAGCGTTTCTCAAAAAACCGAATGGCTTTTCTTGGCTGGAACGGGCTTCCTGACTGCATCCGCAGTGCTTTCTACACCAACAAACTAAACAAACAAAGTGGAAACGAAGCCAGGAAAACCAACAGATTCAAAAACTCAGTCGTCTACCCGATTCGAGTTGCGATACTGTACAAGTCTCTCAGTGGCGATTCTTTACAAGCGATCTCTGCAGAGCCAGCAACAAACACAATATCTGGAGTCTTATGCACAGAGATGCGACGTTTTCGAGCTGTTGACCCCAAACTCCAACCTCCGGACTCGAGGGTTGCAGTTGTGGTTAACCCTTCCGAGCTAATTCCAACCCCAACTTTTGGACTCTGGGCTTACAATCCACATAAAATCGCTCTGGCGAACAAAGAAGGAATGGGAGAAAGCCACACGAGAACGTTTTTCGGTCCAAGAAAAATAAAATAAGAAGAGCGAGAAACCTTTGAAATTTGAAGTCAAACGCAAAATGGAACGAAATATTCATCTAAAAAACAACAACATGCAGGTATTCCAGAGATCCACACACGCGTGCAGCAGCCGGATGAGCGGCAGGAAGTGAAGCCTGTGGAAAGTGCGCCAACACTCAACGGCCCCAAAGAAGGGTCCGAAATCCGAATTCGATTTTAGCCACGCTTTTTTTCACAATTTGTTGTTTTCCGCAAATTTTCTTCCTTCTCAAATTTGCAACAACAAGGTGGAAAACAAGCCTCGGAAAAGTTGCGACTGCGCTCAGTTTTCGACAAACTTGTCCGGTGGTCGCCTTCCAAGAATCTTGCAATCTTAGGGGCTCTAAAGCTTACAAAACGCCCACAAGTTGCTTCAAAGGCACTTTGAGGACGCGCGTTGGGACCGGCGCGCTTGCGCGCGCGAGTCTTGGTCGGAGGCAGCTCCGGAGCTGTTGGGCCGGCAGCTCTTGAGCTGCTGAGGTGCTGTTGGACCGGCAGCTCTTGAGCTGTTGCACCGGCAGCTCTTGAGCTGTTGGACCGGCAGCACGTGTGCCGTTGGACT